CTCTCCCACTCCCCCGCCCCCACATGGAACACACCTCCGTTCATGCCTGTGGATAAACCACTGTATCTCTGCAGATGTGGCTGTTTCCTGACTCACATTCCCTTGATAGTTTTTCGCATCTTCCACCACCACACCCCTTAGCCGAAACCCAGATTGTCCCCCAGCCCAGCAGTCACTTTTCACATTATTGACACGCGCCTCTCCTGTCCCCCGAGCAGTGGGAGAGCCCCAACGTCCTATGTCTCGTCTATGACGTGACCAGTGAGCAGTCCTTCAGCAACTGTGGCAAGTGGCTGGAGAAGGCTCAGGCACAGATTCCAGGCACCTCCCTCCCAGGTAGGAGCTGCTAACGTTTCCAGCAGCGCCCCTGTCCTTCACCCCCAGAGGGGGAGGTCCCTACAGAGGTCACTGTGGGTGCAAAGCAGGGCCCTGCGACTCTGACTCCGATGGCCAGGACTGTGCCCTGGCTTTGCCTCTTAGCCTGTAGGTACAGTGACATTGATGCCACCCACATGGCAGAGCTGTGGTGAGACTCAAGGCAGTAGGGGGAGGTACTGCAATGTGAATTGATGTTTTCAGAAAGCTCACCCCAGGGAAGGCTTCCTCATTTGCTCCTGTGTGTGGGGCACAAGTTGCATTCAAGTCCTGTTGTCACTTCTGAATACTTTAAATCAGTTTATTTCTCATCCCTCTGCGAGATCAACAAATTCTCCTCATTACAGACAAGGGAAAGCGATCTCCAGAGACCGGCTTAGAAATTAGCTATAGCCAATGCAGCTGGGAGCAGAACTAAATTACCTCTGAATCCCTGACTCTGAGCCCAGGCCTGAGATTAGTATTAATGACCATTTTTAAAGTTTGCCCCATGTGCTAGGAATTATCACAAATGCACACAGAAATGGGCCCTCGCCTGCACAGCACTTGTAATCTTAAGGAAGCGAGGGGCACAGTTACATAAGAAGCAAAAAAAAGGCCAGGCACAAGCTATGTGTTCAAGGCAGACCATCGGTTCTCTTGGGGCCCGGGGGACCAGCACAAGATCCCCCTCATCAGGCAGCTTCTGAGACCATGTTCTTCACCCTCAGAAACAGTACGCTAAGCCGAATATCAAGGTGCACACCTGTAATCCTAGCATTTGGAAGGCTGAGACAGGAGGATTGCCATGAGTTCAAGGCCAGCCTGGGCTACATAGTGAGTTCAAGGCCCACCTGAACTACACAGAGGGACCGTGTCTCAAAAAACAAAAAAGAAACAGCGTGCTGCCTCCCTGGCTGATCTCCCAGCCCGCCACAGCTAAATGTGATGTTCTGGTTGTTTTCTTTTGAGTAGGTGTTTTAGTGGGAAATAAGACAGACCTGGCCAGCAGACGAGCAGTGGATTCAGCGCAGGCCCGGTCATGGGCACTGGACCAAGGCCTCGAGTGCTTTGAGACATCCGTGGTGAGTACCTCTGTATGCCACCAAGTCTGGGTAGTCTCTATCAGGAGGGGTCGAGTGCTGAGACCATCTATGCAGAGTCCTATTGGGAGCTGATGTTCATGTCCGGAGCCCAAGGTCTTTACAGTACAGCAAGAGTCACAGGTCCTCTTACTAAAGCAGAGCCACCCGGCTGCCCCGGGAGAAGCTGGGTCTGCACTAGTGAGCTGCACCAGTGCAATTTGTTCAGTTTCCCTGACCTTGACGCTTGGGAGGTGTGGGTGACTGTGTCATTGGTGCATTGCTTCACTGGACCCTCACAATCAGGCCTGAGAGCCAGGAGTTGCCCCCCACCCATTCCTGGTTAAGGGTTGAGCAGGTAAAATGACTGCCTAAGGGCTCGGGACCAGTCAGGCTGGGCCCTTTACACACCCCATGTGAGCAGGGGTAAGGAAACAGCCATTTCAGAGCCCACAGTGACCTCGCCATGGCCGCCAGAGGCTCCAGCCTGGCCATGGCTGTAACAGAGACCTGATTCTTTGGCTCTCCGGAAGTCAGTGGGCTGCTGCACACTCTGGGGTGTCATCTCTTCCACTCAGACTGCTCCAGCTACAGGTGGAAGCTACCGCTGTTGAATCGCTGTATGACATGAGCTTCCAGAGTCCCTGGCGTGGCCTGCTTCCTGAGGAAGGCATAGGCACTCTGACCTCGACAGCAAGGAGTCGGGCTAGCTGTGCCACCCTGGCTTGTTACTTAAACCATGAGACCCTCGGGCTCCTCGCCTGTAAGTGGGAATGATAAAATACGCCCCTCCTTGAGTACTAAGTGTGAGAATTAAGTAGGATGGTGGAATGCAACACCTAGCACAAAGTCTAGCGCAGAGTAAACACTCCGCAAATGTTAGCTTTTAAAGTATGAATGTTCCCCCAGTATCTTGTTTTACTGTTATTACTTGCTAAACCCTTGAAACCGTAGCTTATACACAGATGAATGTCACCCTTGCCTCTGGTCCAATTATCGCAAGTGTTAAATTAATGAAGTTCAAATTACAGAGCCTGTGCTGGGCCGTGCGGGGGCTCCTGACCTCCACGCAGCAGCCTTTGAGCAAAGCCACATGCTGTGTCACCCACAGGACGCAAGACCGCGCCGTCCCCTCTTCCTCCGTTCACATTCATGACATTGTCCCATATTTCTCAGAACTCAAAAATTGAAACGTGTTCCAACACATCAGCCACCAAAGGCCCCGGGCCGTGTGTTTCAGCGGCATTCAGGTGTTAAGGCGGGCGGGTATAAATTACGCTTGGAGAGGCTGCAGCGAGGCACTCGGTAGTAACTGTGCAAGTTAACTAGTCCCCCCTGAGTTGATGCTAACAGAAGCTCCACTGGCAGCTCGGGTAAGAAAGCTGTAATTAAAAAGGAAATATAACCAAATGCTGTTGGGGAGGCAGCCAAGCCTTGACGCCAAGCCAGGCTCTTCTCTTCCTAAGCACAGCAGCAATCCTCTGGCTGACCCCGAAACATGACCTACAGGGCTCTTTGACTTTCTAAGGCTCCTCAGTGTTTGAAATTTTCAGGCCAAAAAGTAAAAATAAAAGGGTTTCTATAACCAGAAGTTATAATAAATAAGTGACAGCAAAAAACCCATTGCTCCTCCCTGGAAGACAATAGTACTATGGACAAGTTCAAGGATGTTCTGTTGGAGTGGCTGCCCTTGCAGTAGCCAGGAGTAGGGAATAACATGTTGAAGGCCTACTGTGTGCTGGGCATTGGGCACATTATCCACTTAGGCTTCACAGCAGACCCACAAGACAGCTGCTCCTACCTCTGTTGTACACTCGAGAAACAGATCAGGAAGGTTGTGTAGCTTTCACCAGTTGCGCAGCTAAGGAGTAGACCCAGGACCAGGACCCAGGCCTGTCCAGCTGGAATCCTCCGGCCTCCTGGAAGGGCCCCTCACTCTGACCTCTCACGGAGCACACTGTGGTACTCTTGGGGACAATGCTAAGCCACACTGAGAATGAGTCTGAACCTACTCCAAGGACCCTGCGTTTAAGCAGACCTACTCTATCAGTGTCCAAACTGCGTGAGCAAGATTATGATTAGTCATTTGACAAAAGGATTCCTGTCGCTGACATTTGGAAAATGGTTCGATTTCCTTCTATTTTGGGAGCATGCCATGGTGTCTGTTGAGGCTCGCTGGCGGTACTGCCTTCCCTGCTTCCTGTGCTGGGTTCTCCAAAGATGGTGCTTCGGAGAGCTTTCAGATTAATTTATAAATCCTCATGCACAGCTATGCAGGCCACCTTCTCTTTGCATTCAGGACTTAACTGTGCCAGGAAAGGATGGACTGTTTTGCGGGTTGACACTAATGCTGCCTGGCAGGAGGTGCTCCGCACACCCAGAGGTGACACTCTGTTGCGTCCATCTGGAGGTGACAGCTTCCAGGGCTGTGGCAGTTGTGAGCTAAGCACAGGTGCTCATCTTGGCTACAGACTGCCCACCCCAGCACACTCCTAGCACTGCCACCTGTTTCCTCGCTTGGGGTATCCTTTGCTACAAAGTCCAGGTAGCTTTCTCCATGCCCCGGTCCCCTCTGTGCACCACTGGCCGCATGGTAGAAGGGCTTCTTCTCAAACCAAGGATCTGGAGCCACTCCGCCCCGGGCCCCAGTCCGCTCATCTGGAAAATGGAGTCATCGTGCATGACGACTTTGGTGTCATTCTTCACACTGAGATCCACCCATTCCGTTAGGGACACTTCACTGCTTCTTATCAAGGCTGTACTTTTGCCAGCTGCCAAAGAGCTTTCTGAAACAGATTCTTGTACGTTCACAGTTTTGGCTGCTATCTGCTATAGAGTGGGTTCTTTCTTCTGCCAGCTTGTTTCTTACAAAATAAAAACACAGATGCACACACAGAGCAAGAAAACAGTGATGGGAAAGGCGAGGAGGAGCACTGTGCCATGTGCCCACGTGGAGGTCTGTCATTTCCCACCTGTTAGCCTCCCTTTAGGGCAGCGGTGGCGAACCTATGGCACATGTGCCACAGCAAGCTGTTTGTATCCTTGGAGGCTCTAAAAAGGTTCACCATCACTGCTCTAGGGCAAGTTCTTTAACTTTTCTGATCCCTGTCACACAAGAGAAATGTCCTTTGGATCCTTTAGTCATGAAAATACTTATTCTTGTCAAGCACAGTGGCACACACCTGTAATCCCAGCTACTCTGGAGACTAAGCCAGGAAGACTGCAAGTTGGAGGCCAGCCGGGGCAATTTAGCAAGACCTTGTCTCAAAAAATAAAAGGATAGGGATATTTTTCAGTGATAGAGTGCCCCTGGGTTCAGTCCCCAGTATTACAAAAGAAAAACCACCTTGTTCCAGCAATTACAGTACCTTGGGCTGTCGTGAGAACTCCTGGCTTGATGGGAAGTCACAGGGGAGGGAGAGGCAGCAGTGAACAATGCAGGGTGTTTGTTGGGGGCTCTGTGGGTGCTGCAGACCTATGACCATCCTGGAGGTCCAGCAGAGCCCCTTGCAGGTCGAAAGGAGCCAGCTGTGACTGCGTCGCACTGGTCCTCCCTCAGGAGGTGGAGTTGGCGCCACTTGGCATTGGAGGCGATGTGGGTGTCCCACTGGCCGGGCCATCAGAACAGCCAGCCGAGTGTCACCCAGATTCTTCCCAGGTCTGGGTCTGGCCTGGGATTCCTGGGCCCCTTGACTGGAGGTCAGGACGAGGCACCCTCCCTGGGGAGATGCAGGGCCTGTGTTCTCCAGAAGCTCCTTCCAGTTCCTCTGTCCCTTCAGCCCTGCTCTTCCTTTGAGGCTCTTCTTTCTGGCACAGGGCAGGGCTCTGTCTGCTATTTGCATTGACCCACGGGCCTCATTTCCATGTCCAGCCAGCGTGGCTGAAAGGATGGGCTCTGAAGAAACAAACCTCGGCCAAGCCCCAGCTCCAGCATCTACACCGGATGTGGCTGTCTGCAGGGACTGTTGGGGAGCCCCTGGGGGAGGCAATCCTGGGAGGAGTGCCGGCTCCGTGGGTCAGAAAAGTAACGCGGCCGCCTCTGACTGTGTCCACAGAAGGAGATGGAGAACTACGAGGCCCCCTTCCGCTGCCTGGCCACACAGTTCCTCCACCTGTACCGGGAGAAAGTGGAGCTGTTCCAGGGCCTGGTGTGATAGCCCAGCTTGTTCTGCAGGGTGGCGTGGTGCTCAGGAGCATGGCATCGAGCTCCATCTCCTTCCAGTAAGGCGAGAGAAGATGGAATTGCCTCTGCACTTCAGTGTGTCATGACGGCTTTAAATAAAAGCAGCAGCAGCGCCTTCCGCTCTTGGCCCAGGCAGCCCTGGTTCCATTTTGCAGGCTGGCTGCAGTAGCAGAGTGGCCCTGTCGAGGGAGGGAGGGCGGTGGCGTTGTTGGGGTGGGGGCCCTGCCTCCCCTGTGTGACCGTCACTGAGAAGGCCAAGCCCCCTGGCTGCCATGGGACAGGGCTGCCCCTTTCCAACCCGTTCCTGCCTCTCCAGGTGCCCCACTCCCCCCGGGTGGCCACTGTCCCTGACCACACTGTGTCCCCTGCCAGCCTCCGTGACATGAGGCCACTTCCTCTGTGCCCATCTCTCAGCAAGCCGGGCAGCAGTCTTCACTCTGCCTGAGCTAGGCTGTTGCCCATCCTGTCTAAAAACCCCACTTTCATACCCATCCTTCGGTGCTGTGGACCTCAGGGCTGTAAGCCGTAGTCTGGCATCCGGGACCTTCTGGACCTGTCACCCTCCCCCAGGGGTCTGCTCCCCCCAGCCCAGGGTGCCAGGGTGGCCTGTCATACTCCTGCCAGTCCCAGGGTTCTGCCTTATGGGAGGGGGGATCATGCCAAGAACACCAGCTCTGGAGTGGATGGACCCCCTCTGTCCCAGTGCTAAAGGCAGTAATGGCTCCCATCTATGACTGGCCATGTCTACAAGACTGAACCACGTGACATGTATTAGCTGATTTTGTCTCTACGGCCATTAACATCCCACTTTTTTTTTTTTTGGTACCGGGGATTGAACTCAGGACCTTGCTCTTGCGTGGCAGGCGCCTGAACCACTGAGCTAAATCCCCGGCCCCTTAACTTCCCACTTTTACAGACAAGCTGGGAGGGAGAATTAGCTGAGGAGTAGTGGGGCCAAGACAATGGACGTCAGAGTCCAGCACACAGCCCCTCTTCTCCCTCCTCCGAGCTGGCCAGGAGCATATGAAGCTCAGAGGAATGATCTAACAGCTGTGCAGGGCGTCCAGGCACAGGATGCCGCCCTCACGTGCCCTGCCCCTTCCTGTGCTCCCTGGCCACAGCAGTCTCATTCCTTCAGAAAGTCACTGCCCAGGACTGACGGTACTGGACACCAGCCATGCCAGCTGCTGGGCTCCTGTGACATGTCAAAGGTCCTCCGTAAACAACCAAGGGATTGTGGGGGAACACTGCCTGTCACCCCAGAATTGGTGACCAGGGCCCACCAGTGTGGACACAGACATAGTGCCAAGGAAACCACTTCCTGAAGGGCACCAAAGGTATGGCCTGCCAGGCCCCTTCCCTGTAGCTGCTGGGAGACACACACACACACTTGCTTCTGCCCTCAAATCTGTCAGAAGACTGGAGTGGCCACAGTCAGTAGGTGGGTGCCCTCCCTGGCTCACCCTTTTCCCCCCTAGAACCAAGTGCAGGAGGCCCTCAGAGCCCCCTAAGATGGAGGACACTGCCAAGAAAAGATGCTGGTACCACACTGCTGAGCTGGAAGCTCACTGAGCTTCGGGAGCCAGTGCCAGCTCCAAGCTTGGATCACGGGTGCCTGGTGGGCGCCCCTTCCTGTGCTGCCTTCCCTCTGGGGGTTGAGTACAGAAGGCTCAGGAGAGGCCTGCCCCTGCAGCAGGGAGGACAGGGCTGTCTGGAGGGAGGACACGGGTGGCCGTGCAGAGTGCTCTTCAGGGATTCACATGGACAGGAGTCCCGCGACCAGACAGACCGGCACTGGGCAGAGAGCTGCTTCCCACCGGCAAGGGCAAGGGGCTGGCAGCTGGCAGAGCTGCTGAGGGAGACAGCTGTCCCTCGTGAGGAGCCCCCAGCCTGAGACAGTTTAGATCAGCCTGTCGGGAAAAGCCAGCAGGAAGGGGGGTTCAGCAGAGCATGATGGAATAGAATGGCTTAGCTTTGGGACCCACGGAGGTAAATTGGCTCTACAAGTGAGTAACGATCAGGATGATTTGAGACAATAGAACTACTGTGATTTGGAGCTGGAATATCCCCTCCTCCCCCTCCCCCCCAAAAAGAAAACTCTCCTGCAGTCAGAGGCGGGGCTTTCAGAAGGTGACTGGATCGTAGGGATCTTATGCTGGGGTGGATTCATCTATTGGTGAGTTCAAATATCGGTGGGCTCATCTACTGGTGAGTGTGCTGTTTAGGAGGAGGGGCCTGGCCAGAAGAGGCGGGGCACCAGGGCGTGGCCAGCAAGGGCGAGTCTCCCTCCCTCCCGGCCTCTCCCTCCTCTCTCTGCTTCCCGGGCTGCCTGAGATGAGAGCAGCTTTCCCTGCCCAGGCCCTTCACCATGCTCTCCCTGCCTTGGAGCCAGCTGACTGTGGACTGAATCCTCTAAAACCCAGTAGCCAAGATAAACCTCTCCCCTTTTAAACTGTGTCAAGGATTTTGTCTCAAAGACAAAAAAGTCACTAAGATGAGAATGAAGCTATGGTCGGTGGTGATTTGTTGGGGACCTGGGTTAGGAGGTCAGGAAGGACTCTGAGCAGAAGTGACAACTGAGTTGAGACTTGACAGCCATGTGACTGTAACTGTCAGGGGGAAGAGCCGCGGCCAGCAGGGACAGAAAGTGCAAAGCCCTGAGCTTCCAGTGTTGAAGAATTTAAGGTGGATGAAGGCATAGCCTGGTGTGTACTGAGAAACAGGGAGGTTGGGGCCTGCTGGGCCACAGCAGGAGGAATGTGGACTTTATTCCGAGACAACTGGAAGCCAATGGCAGAAGGGCATCTCGTTTTTCTATCCTTATAGCATCACCTGTTGGAAGACTTAACGGGTGGTTATTAATGACTTCATTTGCCTGGAGATCCCATTCTTATTGAGCAAACCTTTTCAAAATGGATGTCCTGTCTGCAGATTTTGTTCCTTTTCTTTTTTGGTACTGGGGATCGAACTCAGGACCTTGCACTTGCAAGGCAGCCACTGTGCCACTGAGCTAAATCCCCGGCCCTCCTTTTCTTTTTTAATCATCTGCTTTCTTGAATTTATTCACTTACTTATTTGTTTGTTTGTTTATTGTTTTGCAGTATTGGGGATAGAACCTGAAGATTCGACCCAGGGAGTGCTGAGCTAAACCCATAGCCTTTCCTAGTTGTTTATTTTGAAGCAGAGTCTCACTAAATTTCCCAGACTCCCCTCTAACTTGTGATTCTCCTGCCTCAGCCTCCCTAGTAGCTGGGATTACAGGCTTGTGCCACTGAAGCTGGCCAGATTTTATTGTTGAATGAATATGTATGCTGAATGAAAGGAAGAAACAAGCATTGCTGAGCACTTCCTAAGTGCCATTCCCTGTTGTAGGTACTGGGGATTTCTCAGTGACACAAGAATCCCTTCCTTATTGGGGTCATAACATTCTAGGACAGTGATGGCGAACTTTTTAGAGATGAATGCCTAAACCGCAGCTGAAAACCTTTATTTATCACAAAGCACCAACACTGCAACTAAAGCTGAATACTGAGGGTTTAGTTGAGAAAAAACTCATACGTTAACTTTTTTGTGTCTTAAAAGAAAAACACAGTAACACGTGTGCCATAGGTTTGCCACCACTGTTCTAGGAGGTGAGGCAGATGTTGGAGGAACAGGTTAGTGATGGTTTGTCAGGTGGCCCTAGAGCAGGAGAGAGCAGAGGACGTCTGGGGGCCGGGGAGCTTCCATGTTAAGCAGAGAGTCTGGGAAGACTTCACCTGAGAGCGACCTTGAAGGCCATTGGAAAGAGATCAGCAAATCAGTCCCCTGGGGCATGGCTGGTTCCTATGGGCCCTCAGAGGTGACACTTCTCTGCCTGCTTTCCCCAGTGCCCACCCCTGTGGTAACAGGACTTTGGGGCTGGACCTGCAGATGTCCAGGGGGTGAATCTTGGTGTCTCTGCCTTCATTTTATATCTGTCTCCCTTATGACCTCCCTTATGACTTTGGGTTAGGTCCCTGCTCAGCTGTGCGTGTAGGCATGTTAGTCACTCAGGGCATGTGTGCCATATAAGGTTCACTAGCCCTCAGTGTACCCTGCCTATGTCCTCCCCCTTCAAGATGCAGGACACCAAGATAAGAGGAACTAAAGTAATTTTCAGGATGTGCAGGGACATCTGACTGCCAGTTTTTATCACATCCAGCTCCAGACCCCCTGGAGTGATGCCTAGAAGCTGCCGTTCCTCAGATTCCAGGAAAGGCAGAGCCTTGCAGATCACCCATGATGAGGCCACTTCCCCCGCAAGTGACAGCAGTTATTTCATGGGAACTGGATGCCACCTCGACCTATGATGACTTCTGAGCTATGTCCAGAGCCAGTCCTGAGATAACTAGGTCACAGATTGACCAGGGTTAACTGTACTGACCACTGTGCTGACCCCAACCCTTGCCTTTGGGCCCCTTTTCTGTAAGACCCAGAAGATGGATCTTGAAGCTCTTTTATCTGTCCCTCTTGGCATGGCCATGCTGATTCAAACGCCTTTCCTGCCCTTCACGATTGGCCTATGAGACAGGGGTGTCCAAGCCTGGTCCACTGGGACCCCTAGAGCTGGGACTTTCACCTAAAACTCCTAGAGCACTAGAACTCAAATCTGCAAGGGCTGTGCATGGGCCCTGGTCCCTCCCCTGGTGTCGCCTACAGTGCAGGAGGAGGAGGAGCTGATGCTGGATTTGGAAACTCCCGGGGATCCCAAAAACTGCACACCTTGGGGTCTCCCTAGCACTGTGAGCAGGCAGAGGGGCCACCTCTGTCTCTTCTGATATTACAGAGGATGGTTCTATACCTCGTCCCCCACTGTGTCCTTCCTTCTGTGATGCT